GTTTACAATTATTTGATCATTAACCAGTTACAGATTTCTTTGTTTTCCCCATTCCCACAGTTTCACTTGATTTACCAAGAACATGTTTCCCTAGTAATAATAAGAATGAAATATTATGTTTTTGTTAGTTTGAGTAGGATCATTTAACTTTTCACTTTGTCCTCTGTGCTGTTCCCAGAGTCTATTGGCAGGGAAATAAAAGGTATAAACATTGTGATTTTGACTATAAATTAAAATGATCAATATAGGGTATAAGCAATATTAAATTGTTAACCATAACTAATCAATGTTATTAAAATCAAGTATAGTAAGTATAAGTAAAAAAAAGGGTTAAATTGTAAGTTAAGAAGGTTAAGAATTATAAACTAAAAGTCTGATGCTCTTTAAAGCCAAGCATGCTGCTATTGTATAGTTTCCTGGCCACAAGCCACAGGCTTTGGGGTGAACTATTGATGCATGAGTAGATGTTTTTGTCACAGCATGAGGGCCTTGGAACGTTTTGACCTTTCTTTTTCAATAAAAACAAAATAAAAAATGTTTTGATTAATAAATAAATCAATGTGTAAAAGATTAAGTAAAAACATAAATAAAGCAAGATTCATGTGGTCGTTGTCCACACTTCCACTAGACATCTGAGGTCCATCTCTTCCTTTCCTCGCTGAACCCACACCACCTATTCAGGTCCAACGAATCCTGCAGAGCTGGTCTCCGGCAATAGGCCCACATACAGAGCTGAAATTAGTACCTGTTGTCTTTGGCACATATACCACAAGTTAAAGTCTCTTTAGGTACCCAGTATAACAGCTAAATTAATAGTACCTTAGGTAACCAAGAATGAATTTACAAATTATCAAAAGTATTAAACAATTAAATTATAAGAGATCAACCTTTCGATCGGCAATGTATAGGGCTTCAGCCAGTTTGGCAAAATTTTCATTAATGTGTACTGTCTGTAGTCCTCTTCCATCAGCAGCCAGACGTTTGTCCAGTGGAATTGTATAACCCTAGTGTGAAAGCAGACAGAAAACACCAGTCACAGAAGAGCTACAAAAATTATTTAAAATTAAATTTAAATACACCTTTTTTGAGAACCATTTAGTTGATATTCTTTTCCTCACAAGTTTCTTCATGATTATGCAAAACAACAGCAGCTAACAATAGCTGCTTTGTATGGAGGATTAAGCACTTTACATCTATGAGAGTACTTCAAAAAGTAAATGGAAAAATGGAATTAAAAGATAATATGAATCTTTCCATGAACTTTTTGAAGACCCCTCATATGGTCTCACTTAACCTTCACAATAACTCTGTAATGCTGGTAACATTATTGTTTCCACTTCACAGATGGAGACACTGATAGAGAGAGCTTAAATGAAGTCCCCAAGGTCACAGATTTACTAAGGGGATGTGTTACGATTTAAACTAAGACGGTATGACTTCAGAGACCAATCTCTGGAAAAATAGATTCTTGTAGAAACAATTGTGGATTATAATAAAAGGAAATCACTGTCAAATAGCTAAATAGTTGCTCCTCAAGTAAAAACGAATATAATAGTCATACAAAGGTAGAATAAATCACTACAATCTTAGTATCTATAGGTAGTTTAATCCGCTTTTGTCAGATTCTTAGAACCTGTAAAAGTTTTAGTAAATGGAAAAAAAGATAGTTCGCTAGACAACTGAGATTCTACATTCTGAAATTTTGCATCTCATTTCAATAAATCAAGAAATATGCTTAAACATCCATGTAACTTTCAAGCTTAGCTTTATTTTTCTAGATTTCTAACTGTACTTCCAAATGTTGACATCTAGTCCATGATCTCTTCATAAAACAAAGTGCTACAGAACCAGATCGAAATATCACATGGTGACACACATATTAATCAATCCAAATCAGACCAGCCAACAACTTTTTGTTTTAGGATAAGTGTATAACTTCCTTTAAGGATCAATATATATGTATTTAATCCATGGGTTAAAGTGGCTTTCTTCACCCATCAAAAAATAGAATAATAAAATATGATTTAGGAACAAGAGGAAATAGGGTGATTAGAAAATTTATCCCACATTTTACAGATTCTCAACGACTCCTGGAAGCTTTGGTGATTAGTAGAGCTATATAAGATTTAAATAGTTTAAGCCTGTATTGTTATAAACAGAGACAAATAGTTGAAAATCAAAGCACTGAAAATATCCAAACATTTACTCTGTTGTTCTGTCACACGATCATTTAGACTGGTTTCATTTCTTTCAAAAATAATTTTTAGATATAAATTTGAGTTTTCTAAAGAATATCATCTTGTATAATACTTCATTTTATTTATTCCTTCTCTATGTGCTTCTTATAGCTACAATTCACTAAAATAATCTACGTGGTATTCATGTATCTGGACACGAACATTTCTATTACATTAAAAATAAAAACTCCCGTAAATTCAGTATTCCTTTTTGAAAACATTCAGCTAGTGAGGTGCTGAGGTTTCCCATAGGTTATAATACTAAGAGACTGATTTTATGTCAACTGAATTACCTTTGCATTTTTCCAGTTAGAAATACAAGGGGGAATCTTCCACTCCTGTTGTTCCTTTACAGTCATCTGAGTTGAAAAAAGAATGAAACAAGAGAGTTTTAGATTTACAGCCTAACTAAAAACCCAAGTGTAATCAATCTTTCTCTTCAAAATAGCTCCACAAACAATGACATATTGAAAGACTTAGTCAAAGGCCAAAATTCCATAGTTTTGGTAGCACTATAAACTATGTTCCCACATAGCAAATTCTAGTAATAAGTTTAAACTAATGTAAAAAATGGAAAATAACATAGAAATTATTTTTGACAATTATAAATGCTGGCTAATATTTTTCCTTAAAGTGATGTGACTACTTTTGGATTAAAAACTTGATTTTTTTGGTAATAAAACATAAATAAAAAAGCCACTCAGATTATCAGAGACCGGATGAACCCATGTACTCATATTCTATGATGATAACATTGTTCATGAGAAACAGCAGACCCTGTTCATTCTATTATAAGCAAGGTTTGGGTTATTAATAAGAAAATTAATAGCTAACATTTTACATACATTCTTTTTTTTTTTTTTTTTGTCTTTTGTCTTTTTTCCGTGTCCGGCAACGGATCGCAACCCTCAGTGTTGCCCCCGTACCGGACCGGGGACCGGCAACGGGATTGCAAGCCTTGGCGTTGCTCCCGCGCCTCGCTCAGCCAGCGAGCAGGAGCCGGTCTGTATGTGGGATCCGAACCCTCGGACGGGAGCGCCGCCGCGCTTCCCAAGCGGCGCACTATCCAGTGCGCCACCGGGCCGGCCCTATGCCTGGATTTTTTAATTAAATGAGCCATAACTTTTTTTTTCTCTTAAAATAGTTTGGGTTGAGTTTCTGTTACCTTT